TCAAATTTCTAATTTTAATATGCCGAGGGGTATTCAAAGAAGACTGAAATATAAACTGCTAAACTAATAATCATGAATTTCAGCATGTTTGCAGTTTTTTGACCGAATATTTACTTGTTTGGGGTGTAGGGAGACCGGATTTTCAAAATTCTAAACTGGGGTAAAAAAAAAAATTGAAAAAAGTGTGTAGCTTTGTCCATTCTCGACTCAGGTGTGGGTCAGTGTATAATCTGAGACAAAATACAGAAGTGCAGTCTTCTGTATTTTGATCAAACAAATGCAGTTTATGCACCTTTGGTTAAGACCTGGTTTAGGCCTGAAATAGACCTGATATAGACCTAGTTTAGTCCTAGTTTTAACCTGGTTTTGACCTGAAATAGTACTGGTTTAGCCCTAATTTAGACCTGGTTTAGACCATATAATTCTATTTTAGCCATAGTTTAGTCCTGGTTTAGACCTGGCTTAGATCTGAAATATACCTGATTATAGTCCGGGTTTGGTCCTGGTTTAGATCAAATTTGTCAAAAATAGGGACACCTGGGACATTTCTTTTATAAAACTGGGACAAATCAGTGGTTTTGTATAAATCTGCTGGGACAGGGGACACAGGGCTCAAAACTTGGACTGTCTTGGATAAATAGGGACATCTGGTCACCCTATTAGAGAGGAAATTATGTAACTTACTTAAATGTGGTCTTTGCAATATGCTAATTGCAGCCATCCAAATTTCTCTATTGCAATAATAAATCTTGTAGCCATATTTTGTAGTGGCATAATTTCAATGGATGTACTCGATGAAATTTTATTAATTGATTGTCAGGAGAATTAACAATCGATTTTTGATTATTAATCATTAACATTTTTATATAATAAGTATCATCATTATTATTACTATGACTAATTTGCATAAATAAACTCAACATATAAACCATAACCACTATAGAGCCATATCAGCCCGTTTGACATTATAATGTGTTTAATGCAGCTTTGCGCAAGTCTTACAGAAACGAAACTTAAAACTGCATGGCTAATTTGCATAAACTAAGCCTAGAAAAAAACAAAACGTTCTTGTGCACTGATGCGGTTCAACTTTTGTTGGACTAAAGGACACTACTCAGTGGAATATGAGAGTTCTTTCTGTGACAGAGGGATGTTGATGCTGAAGGTGAGTCTGTTCTGTGTGTCACGATGTTTTCAAAGATCGTACATATGCAGGTTTAGCACAGCTCTTTATGTTGCAGTAACCGGGATACAGCATACATGCACCATGATGAAACCGGAACACTGATGTGCATGTAAACACACTCACTGAGAGGTACAGTGATCTCCAAGGAGGTGTCTCTGCCCAAACATGGGACTGAGGCTGCAACTCCAGCGTTTGAGCTGTCAGACACAGCTTCGTATCTACGCCCAAAAACCTACATTCAGTTTGTCGATTAGAAATGAACGTAATCGACAAAATTCTTAATGATCAATTATTGATTAGTCGACTAATCACGCCCATCCCTAGATGTACTTACAATACACTTGCTTTTTGTTTATTTGTTAACATGCTTGCAAGTTATGCTCTCAAAAAACATTTCATTGCTTACAGTTGCGAGACAGGGTCAGTGTCTTAATGAAGGTAAACTCCCAATCTACTCCTAGATTTCTTTATTCACTCCAAAGTTTTATTCACACATAACTTACCAAAAGCCACATAGAGTTTAGAGGTGTTAGAAGCCCACACATCACATTATAATGCCAGTTCTATTAGAGCTGTTTACCTGAGCCTGTCACCCTCACAGTCGTGCAGTCAACCCCAATGACAGACAGGCTCTGTTTTATTTCAGTGGCAATGTAGGGAACACAAACATTCTTGTGTTCAGTTTTGTTTGGCAAAGATCTCACCTTTAATGCTGTGATTTTTTTATTATTTTATTTTTTTAATTTTTAAACTAAATTCACACATTTACTAGTAGCCACAGTTTTTAATTTCAGTTTTCTGAAATTAAGTAAAAAGAACATCGGTAGTCTGTGGTAACATTTAACATTGTTAGCTAAAAGAGTAATTAATGTTAACTTTTCTGGTTGAAGTTTGTCACCATGGCCTTGTTGCTTCGTATTTATTCAGTCACAGATGGGTTTTCTGAATACCATGAAAACATGTATTCTTACTGTGGGCAGGTCGTTTCCCCACAGATCTGACCTGTAACTTGGCCTTGTGGCATCACCTGCTTGTCACCATGGACATAGACAAGTTTAATACCATATTTTCAGACATTCCATGCGGGCAAGCAGGTGAAAGGTAAAAAAAAAAAAAGATATAGTGCACTATCTCTTATTCTAGATAATGTACAGATATGCATAGAGACATATAAGTCAAAGTAATTAAGTCTTGATTTGTGAGCATAAAATATCGAAATTGTCACCTGAGGACGCTGAGGAGTGAACTGTTTAAATGTGGCTTCAACAATAGCTGCTAACTTTGAAATGGAGATGTGCCATAGAGAGTGCAATTTGAACTAAACTGACACAATTAGAGTCTGGTGAAGGTGTCACTAATGACTAACTATATTGTTTTCCAGGGTTTGTCTCTCAGGAATAACCAGATTTCCAAAGTGCACCCGAGGACATTTGAGCCACTGAAACACATGCAAAAGCTGTACTTCTCCAAGAATCAGCTCACCACCATCCCCAAGAACTTGCCCAAATCTCTGGTTGAGCTCAGGATCCACGAGAACCGCATCAAGAAAGTGGCAGCTGGGGCCTTCTCAGGACTCACCAACATGAACTGCATAGGTCAGAGTCTGAATCACAGTCTATTTGTGACTTATTGAAGCCACTGCTCTGGGTAAATTAGAGGGGCCGCTAAAGACACACAGCACTCATGTTCATTTATCTTTCAGAGATGGGAGCCAACCCAATTCACAACAGTGGATTTGAGCCGGGAGCCTTCAAGGGACTAAAACTCAATTATCTGCGTATATCAGAGGCCAAGCTGACAGGCGTACCAAAAGGTAAACATATATAGGAGAATGATTTAGAATACCAATTTTAAGTGAAATGTTATGTGCTCAGATCTTCCAGAGAGCCTCAATGAACTTCACTTGGACCATAACCAGATTCAGGCCGTGGAGCTGGAGGATCTCAAACGCTACAAAAACCTCTACAGGTACAGGCTACATCTGTTACTACTGCAGCTGTCCACAAGCTTCTTTCAGGAATGTTACTGACAATAGATTTGATTTATATAGCTCTTTCTAGACACTGAAAGCATATTATGTGATGGTGACCCTCTTCTGTAGCGGTAACTGCCCCATGCAAAGGCCCCTCCAGCTCAAACATAGCATCATATTAACAGGTTAAAATAACAGTGCCACAGATATGAGGGGAAGTGGGGTTAAAGTCTGATCCCAGGCAAAAGGTATGGGGGGAGAAAGGTTCAACATCAGCATTATGTTTCGTGGGAGACTGACCTCCAAAGTTTCAGCGATTTAGTTCAATCCAAATACCAACCACATGAAAGAGGCATGACCAGACGTAAAAGCTATCATTAAGGCACGCTAAAGGGCAAAATATTTGCCAGGAGGCACAACAAAGCCTATTTGAGGTTTGGATGTGAAGGATATATTCAAACTGAGGACAAACATGCTTTTGCATTTCAAGGCTAGGACTGGGCTTTAACCACATCAGGAACATAGAGAACGGCAGTCTGTCTTATCTGACTATGCTTCGAGAACTACACCTGGACAACAACCGCCTGAGCAAAGTGCCCAGAGGTCTCCCAGACATGAAATACTTACAGGTGCATATACTATGAGTCATTATCTGTGTTTTCTTGTATTTTTCAGTAATTCTGTATCATGAATCGTTCATTTACCTGCAGGTGGTGTATCTTCACTCTAATCACATTGACCAGGTAGGAATAGATGACTTCTGCCCCAGAGGATTCGGGATGAAGAGGACTTTCTATAATGGCATCAGTTTGTTTGGAAATCCAGTCAATTATTGGGAGGTTCAACCTGCCACTTTCCGCTGTGTCAGTGACCGACTTGCTATTCAGTTTGGCAACTACAAAAAGTGAAGACTAGGAATGATGAGGAGATATTTTTATCATTAGACCTATAGTTTTTATTGTGTTTATTGAGTGAATAAACAAGAACTTGAAATGAATGGAAACAGAGCTTACAATACAGAATTCTCATATTATGTTTTAGTAAACTGCCTATCTTTGAATGTTTTATTGCTATAAAAAGCCACAAGTTTCATTTGGTCATTTTATCATATATTGCTTTTCTAGATATGGTACAAGTATAACTGATTACGTTGCATATTTCTTAAGGTGCTCTGTAGAATTTTGTGCTGATATGTAACATATTATTTGCATATTTGTTTTCAGCCCTGTACTGTGAGGTCATATTTTTTGTGACATATAAAAGTAATACCACAAAGTGTTTGAGATCACAGGCAAAAAGCAAGTTTTTTTTTCTTTGGCCAGGTTGAGGGTTGGTGGGTACTGGTGTTAGGTATGTTACACATAGACTTTTAGACTTAATATGTCTAAATATGGTATGGTTCCTTTGACCAATAATGCTCCACAAGCACTTCACATTGAAAGCATTTCACTCTCCTGTTTTATAAGTAATAGTGTTACTGCATTGTTTGCACAGTCCTGTCCCTATGCTTCATCTGCTTTGGTGTTTGGACACCACTAGTCCTTTGGGTCAGCTCTTAAAAAGCTACTGCTGCAGCATGTGAATAAATGCATTTTAAGCAATTTTAGCTGCTTTGCCACAGTATGGATGTTGATGTACTGATTTGGATGTTGGAAATAAAAGATTTATTTAAATGTATGTTCTTCATTATTGTTATCATCTACATAAGATTCATTATATATGTTTGCAGTAGCCACGTTCTGCCCCTTTTTTGTTGATCAACGAAATATGCGTCTGCGTGTCCTATCAGGCTGGACCACGCTCTCACATGATGTCCTACAAGAGATAACACACAGGGGAAGTTGACTAGATAATGCCGTTTTGTGTTTGTGTTTCTTTTCATTATCTCTTTTTCTCTGTGTTTTCAAATGTGGCGCTCCGTGCGTCATGGCCACCTGACTCCCTCTCTCTCTCTCTAGCGAATATGTTCCGACGAAGCGGCGGTAGAGACGTACAGACCACTTGCACTGTTTGTGTTGATGTTGAGGACGGGTATGCCCCATGCTCTTGTGCGTAGAGGCGTACAAACGTATAACAATAACGGGATATTGCGCGCCTAGTGCATGCTTTGGCGGCAGAAGAAGTTGGTGCATAGAGGACGCGTTATCGGCTGGTGCATCGCATCTTTGTGGCAGAGGCCTGTCGGCGGTGTGCAGAAGCCGGGGGCTGGATTTGGTATGTCGCAGGGACGCACTGGTGAGTGGCTTGTGCCCAGAACATTCACAGATAACCTGTCAAGCTTTGGCGTGTTATAGACCACTGAGATGCAAATTGTACATGTGCAGTAGCCTATAATATATGACTTGTGTGTGGTGATATTATTAATGTAGAATAATTTCCCAGGCCTGACAGCTTTGATAAGCTAATCATGTAAATGGATGGATGTCACTGGTGGCGCTGTTTCAGCGCTTTTGGTGGTCCATTTCTGAATATTTCGCTTAGGTCAAATTAGAATGCACACTTAATGCTCACTACAGGTCCTTTCCTATTCATGTACATGTGTTAAACTGATAAAAAAGGGGCGGGGTTGCAGATAAAGACTTCTAAATAAAGAAACGGTTTAACATTGGTTCCAGCTGCCTGTCATTCTGGGGTTTGAAGTCTATTTGCACTGAAAGAAACAACAATTTTTATATTTATTAAATTTAATTTTTTATAGTTATTATTATTTAGTTTTTTATTATTTAAATGATTCAGTCTACACAACTACATCTAGGCTTTCATGCAACATAAAATGACCTTAAAAGATTTTAAAATAAGTACACGAAAGTGCTCTTTGGTTTTCCACAGTTCCACACTGTATTGTCTTAAATGAATCAAACACAGAGAGAGCTCAGGTACAGCCTGTTTGAAGCTGGACAGTGCAATGACTTATTCCACTGAAGACACTCTGGTCTCGGCCTGTGGAGACAGGAATAAGACATGATTACAGTATGATGATCTACTCTGTGCTGTACACATTTAAATGTACTGATAGAACTTATTACTCTGTAACACAGTAATGGAACAGTTCAGGACAGAATCACAGAAAATGCAGAAAAAAAAATGTCACCATGTGATTTTCTTCAGCTTCCCAGCATGCATTTGGTAACAGGTAGGGCAGGTGCACATACCCTGTACATACAAGTGATGACACTTATCAGTAACAAGGAGGGCTTACAAAGGAATACAAAATTGCCACACACCATTTAGATACCAGTGCTGACACTTTCTCATTACGAAATATGTTGTAAAAATTGACTTGATTTGGTTTATGTACTTTGTTCATCTGCATCTTGTGTTTTGGTGGTTCTTTGGGTCCTGTGTCTTTCTGAAACAAATGCAGGAATTTCAATGTCTCACTTTCTTTATTTTAACTGACAAAGTAGAGCTGCACAAAATCACTGACTAACACCGACTATGAGTTAGCTTACCAACTACACACGCAACTACAGCAGTGCTCTGGATATCACTCTTTCATATTTTCAGACTATAGAAGCAACAAATTAAAATGTTAATACAATTCCCACCCTCTTAATAACAATTTGTAACAATTTGTCTCTTGTAAACAGCCCTTACATTAACACTAATTTCAAATAATGCAAACACAAACGTTTTTACAATGACCTGATTCAGGCAAAAAATCTCTGAAAAATCTTACCTCCAAGCAGCTCTCATAATCCTCCTGGATCCACACTGCAATGGTCTCTGCTCTTGAAACTGTCCTGTGTCCTGCTACATTTTGTAGTTTTGGGAAATTCCACTTTGTAAGATTTAAACATGCTTGACAGAGAATCTTAAAAAAAAGTCATGTTATTGCTGTAAAATTTGAGTTTGCAATTTGAGCAACCCCCCCAGTGTGGGCTGAAGCAGTCAGTGAATGTTGTTGTGTTTTCTTTCTCTCTGAAGTCAGTGCAATGAAAGCAGGAAGAGGAGAGAGGAGGGCACCCTTTATGACCCAGGACTGATGTTAAGCCAAACCAGGTAAAATGAAACCCAGTCAATAACATTACAAAATCAATCCATTGTTGGAGGGGTCAATTTACAAAAATCCTTGGAAGCCGATACATGCCAAAAATGAAAATGACATTGAGCACGGAACGATCTGTCACTTACATTTACTATAATTATTAGTGATAGTAATATTAGTAGGCCTAGTTAGTAATATTATTACATTACTATTACATCTGTTGCTATTCCATAATGTATGCAGTTTCAACATGTATTATTATTTAGATGGATTACCCAATTATAACGTCTTTATTTCAATATTTTCCCCTCCAGTGTCATAAAGTGATGGCAGTGCGACCTCAGCCTATCTACAGTGCCCACAGATCACTACAGATGGACAGGCTGCACACCTGAGCTCCAGCCGTGCCCCTGCTCCTGTCCCTCTGCCTCCCCCTACACCCCTCCTCTTCCTCCTCCTCCTCTCCCTCTCTCCTTCTGCCTGTCCCTCTGGTTCACCCTTTGTCAACCCCACAACTGTATCTTTGGACTATGGCGTGTTGTGGTCGCTCCCTGGACTCTCCCTGCACACTGGCACTGCTGATTGGTTTCCAGTTTGCCTTTGTGCTATATTTTTCTCTTGGTGGATTCAAAGGGTTAGTTTCAGTGCTTGTTCACACCATAGAGCCAGAGTTTGACTACTCAAGACCCCATGACGTCTACACCAACTTAAGTCATTTGGGAGTACCACCTCCACCACCCCGCAATGTCGGCATGGGACCACCACCAACAGGACCTCCGCTTAAAGACTGCCAGATTCCCTCACCTTTGCTAGGCAAGTGAAAGAGATAGGAGTTTAAAAACAGAGAATGCAATTTATTCTATTTTGCAAGTAATTAGCAAATAATGAAGTTAATTTAGCCTATATGCTTTTACGAGAGAGACTTTTTCTGTCCTAACTCCCTACTTTACTGGTTTTCCTTCTTTTAAATGCAAGATGAGTTGCAGTATATTTTGTGATACTTGTTCCCAATGTTTTGGACTCATCATATGTTTGTATTTGTAGATAATCAGTGCTATACAATAAAGTGCAGTCCACATAGTAATACATATAGTCAAGATACAATTAACAATTTTAGAAGGAATAAAAATGACATATAACCCTTGTGTGTTTCCATCAGTTGGTCCAGTGTCAGTGCGCCTGTCCTCACCCCTGTCCATGGAGGAGATCAGGCAGAGGAACCCGCTGGTGCAGCCCGGAGGCCGATACAGACCTCCAGACTGTGAGCCACAGCACCACACAGCTATAGTGGTGCCTTACAGAAACAGACAAACTCATCTGAGGGCACTGCTCTACCACCTGCACCCCTTTCTACAGAGGCAGCAGATTCACTACAGCATTTATATAGTCCAGCAGGTGAGAGTGCATTTCAAAACAATCTGTTTTTGTTCCAAAATAGTACAATACAGTCTGACTTTTCTTTCAAATAATTGTTTTCCTTCATTTAAACCTATGAGGAAAAATCTGTTTCTACCAACATCTATATTAGAGCTACACTACTTAACACAATTGTTAAATCATAATTTGAGTTGGTGATTTGTGAATGAAAGAAAACACAACTCCAGGTTATCTTAAAGCTCACAAGAGACCAAGGAACTGGGACAGATTATACATAGATAAGAGGACATTCTGGGTAAATGGGTGAATTTGGATTTCCTATACTAGATGTGAGTACAGAATCTGACTGTGTCTTGGTGACCCTTGACTAATCTGGGTGTATCCCGCCACAGGGCCAAAGGAACTGAGTCATGCTCAAGCCCATTGGAACCCTAAAAGGATTAGTGGGGGAAATTTAATTAAAATAAAATTAAGTATGACAATAGTTTCCAATAAACAAAATCTGATGCGTTAGCTGTTGTTGCAAAGTTATTTATACATTCTTATCGTCACAAAATGTAGGTGCAGATCTCAAAGTGATGTATTAATAGAGGATTTGTAAAAAAGTACAATTATTTCTTGTTCTTTGCTCCAGTGGGGAAACAGTACCTTTAATCGAGCTAAACTTCTAAATGTCGGGGTCCGAGAGGCGCTCAGAGATGAAGACTGGAGCTGTATTTTTCTGCATGACGTGGATTTACTTCCAGAAAATGATCACAACACCTACACCTGCCACAAACAGTTCCCCACACACCTCTCAGTGGCTATGGACAAGTTTAGATACAGGTATAAGCACCACATTCACTTTTTTTTTAAGTAACTTAAAGGTGCACTGCGCAACTTTTCTGGTGGAGGGTCCGCTACCTACTTGGAATATTCCATGGTAGGACATTAAAACATACATCTAGTATTTATTCATTATGGGTGTTTCTATTGCTCAAAAATACAATCATGCCTACTGTAAAGAGATGCAACTTTCCACAGATCTGAATTGTAATGTAGCGTTGTGTTTGTCTCCCTCGCGATAGATAATGTAAACCATTCTAAACAAAGCAATAATATTTCCAGGGAGACAAACAGGTGGCGGACTCTCCACTAGAAAAGTTATGCAGTGCGCCTTTATGTCCTTGATTGTATAATTATGGATTTGTCCCTTCCAGACTTCCATACCCACAGTATTTTGGAGGGGTGTCTGCTGTGACTCCAGACCAGTATATGAAAATGAATGGCTTCCCAAACCAGTACTGGGGATGGGGCGGGGAGGATGATGACATTGCTGCCAGGTTGGAGCATTGTAATCACTAAATATTCTGAAGAACTTTCTATGAGTTTTGCACATCTCTGCTGTATGTGCACTTCATCAGTCTCTGTTTTCATTTGCTTTTGCCACATCTTTGTTCCATCTTTTTTTTTATGTGTTTTGATATAATTTTCCATCTTACTACCCTTTCATTGCTTTGGCTTTGCTGTGTTTCTCTTGGGAGTGGGCTCAGTAAGTATCGGATTTTTGGTTTAACACCAGATTTTGGTTGGGCTTGGTCCTTCCGCCTTTTATCTCTTAACTGTGGTCTCCTCTGTCCACTGTACAATATGATTCTTAACACATTAGTGAGAAAAGCAACCTATGCTTGTCTTAGCTGTCAATGAAAACAAGATATTTTACTATGTACCAACAACATGAATGTGCCTACTACATAAAGGAAGAACAGGCACAGATGGACGTAGGGACCACAGTGCTTTTTACCCTCTGTAGTCTAAAATGGTGTGTAGGCTAATGTTTCAACCCCATATGTGTTAACACTATAGAGTGATTACATTTTATTTGGAAATGAACTTCAGTAACTTGACTTGACTCTCTTTTTCTGTCTGCCAGAGTTCGATTGTCTGGTATGAAGATTGTGCGCCCCCCAGTGGCCATTGGACATTATAAAATGATCAAACATAAAGGAGACAGAGGAAATGAACAGAATCCACGAAGGTATTCAAATGCAGATTATATAAAAAATATAAAACAGAGTAGTAATAAAAACAAAGGGACTTATCAACCCTGCAACACCTCATTAAAACTGACCATAGATAGGCTTGACAATGATAGTAATGAATATCCAGCAAAAGTTTAAAACTTTTCACTTACTTACTGACTTAGACAAACTTTACTGATTGCAGTGGAAATTATTTGGACACAGTAGCTCACACATCACAATATATTATAATAACAAAGAGCAAAATATAATATAAATGGTAATAAATTCAAAATAGCAAAAATAACAAGAGACTGGTAATGTAACTATATAAATGTATATGGACAAGTAAAAACTAAAAATATAGAAATATAGTAATACAAGTATATCTCTCAGCTATACACAAGAGGTCGTAAGGAGAAAACAATGCAAATATGAAATAATTATTGACATTACATGAGGTTATCTATTACATAAGGATGAGTTGTTGTACAGTTGTATGGAGTATGGTATGAATGTAGTCAGTACCTCTCACTGTTTTAGTGGAGCTGTAGCAGCCTCTTGGATAATTACTGAATTACTGTCCCTCTATCCACTTTTTATAAATAATATTAGTAGAAACAAAAACACAAATGACCAAATGCATAGTTTTCCTTCTCTAGATTTGACCTGCTGAAGAGGACCAGGCTAAACTGGCGCTCTGATGGCCTTAACTCTCTGACATATGAGCTCCTGTCTAAAGAGCTGGAGCCCCTCTACACCAACCTCACCGTCAACATTGGAGACGACCCTCACCTGCCTCACGGAAAAGTCCCAAATCCTGCCAAAGTACCAGTCCCACATGCCAGCAACCAGAATGGACCAAAACAGGAACCAGAACCAGAGATCCACAGAACTGCTGCAGCCAATACAACTGTCAGTGTGAAAACAGAACTAACTAAAGTAAATGGGACCACGCAAAGGAAGGCCCATTAAACTCCAGAGGAGAAATAACTACTTACTGCTGCATTAAGACAGAAACTGAATGATCAACTCAGTCATATCCAAGTAACCATTCCCAGTATAATAACCAAGACAGTCAATAGATGCTGCTTTATTAGACTAAATCAAACAGGCATAACATTATGACCACAGACAGTGATGAAGTCATACCCAGTCTCTTTGTTGACGCTAGGCCTGTCAGGATATATTACTGAAGTAACTATATATAATACTGAAACCAAACCATCAAGCATAATTATCCCCCCAAAGGTATTCTTAATGTACAATAAGCTTAAATATTGTTGAGCTTTGATAAAGAACACTTAATTAACAAGTAATTGGTTTATAATTTGAGTTCATAATTCCACCTTCTTCAGCTCAAATCGAACAATTTAAGACCAAAATGATGAGGCTCACAGCAGCAGTAACAGTAATTTTTCAATGTAAAGTCAAACAGAGTTGGAAATAGATGAAGCTGAAAGCGTGCCCATTAACACTTCCTATTTGTAACGCAGCATTGGGACTCACGTTAGATAAGAGAAATAAGAACCAAGAAAACTTTAATTGCCATTATCAGTGAACAAAAAGAATACTAAACTTATATAATTATGACAAAATTAAAATGCTTCATACAATAAAGTTAAAATAAAATAGAGGCTTTTTCTGAATATAAGAAATCACACATTGGCACCAGGAATAGGCATGTGGTCATAATGTTATGCTTGATGAGTGTATACAAGCTGTAAGTGACCCACGCATATTCAATGACACTCCAGGCTACTGTTGTCCACTCCAGTGTGGGCGAGCGTTATCTGTGCCTTCTCTCTTTTCTGTGCATTTTATAGACCAATAGAGATGCTTTTAGACGTGATCTGGGGCTTTTTGAACTGTTTTTTCTCTGGCTCATTGATCCCAGATCTTTGTGAGGACTGCCGTTTTATAACTGTGTGCATCGCTTATAATCCTAGAGTTTATATTTCTATAGAGACTTTTTATCTTTTATTTAATATTATGTTTAACTTATTACAGTCTGGTGCCTCTTTTAGTTTCTAGACAATCAAAGTAAATTGGTTTCATACAACATACAAGGAAATACAGTCATGGCCAGATATTCATTATAGTGGCATGATAGTTGTCGTCTAGTCTAACTATATTCTTAAAACACAGAGACTTACAATACAATATAGGTGAATTTATACATTTACTTTGGTGTTGGTGTAAAACAAGCCAGCAAATGATATATGTGGTGACACATTCACTTTGAATGATAAAGAAGCACTGTGTTTTTTTTTTGTTTTTTTTAGGGCTAGCGACTTGCAGGAAAGATGCTTACTTGAGCCTAGTGCACTGACTATTACTTAGTATACTATTAACAGCCCATCTGCTATAATTTTCTTCCAACAAACATCATTTGACTATTTTTGTAAAATAGGCAACAGTTCATATGAATATATTCAACACAGCATAATTATCAGAGGTGGATAAGACACATTTACTTCACTAGTCTTCTTGATGAACAGAAAAGTTTTCAGTACCTTTGATTTGTACAGTCAAACTAATTTCATGGTAAAATGTGTTGCTTGCCATTCATTTGGTAGCAGTTTTATTAGTAGACAGTTCTGTTTATTTTAGCTGTTTAATTTCAGCTCAACTCCACTGAGCATTTTACCTCTACTTGAATAGTGTCTTTGAACAAACATGGGCCTATTTTATTTGGCTACTTCTACCTCTGATAATTATTATTATTATTCATCATTATATAGCCATCATTATAATTTAAACACTGTGCCTCTCGAGTTTCAACCATCAGCTTGTTATTGATAATTTATGTTGTTGTTAAATTGAATTTAAAATATAATTTAAAAATGGTGTGTTTAAATTGCTGTGGTGAAACAGCGCCCTCTGGAGGTGCAGTCTTATGCAGCGCCAGCTTTTGATCGAAGCTGCAGTGTTGTGACATGAATGTTGATGATGAAAATTGGCCATTCACAGTTTTCAGCCAATCCAATCTTTGCTTTGCGGTTAGCATAGTGTCACATGACTGCGTTTGTGAGCTTAAAGGTACAGAACTGCATTTCCACTGGTTACCTTACCCAAAAACATGTAGACACTTTTATGAATGAATAGGCCATTGTTTTATATGAAGAGTAAAATTATTAATACAGAGAGATATGATAATAGTGATAATCCATTGCTGATAAATTGTACTTTGTTAGCTTTATACTACTTACAGGAAATATTTAGTTGCATATCAATAAATATTATACATTTATCATATTGCCTGCTTTAAAGGATGTTATGTGAACACAGCCAATAACCGTTAACTGTGTGCTACCAGATTGTTCTATATTTATGCATAGATTACTGTGTAAAAGGTCACTGTTCATTTCTGACAGATTAGGTATTCTAAAGGCAAAGTGCTGGATTATGTGTTGAATGCATGTGGCAATGTTTGTGTGTCAAGTCATGTTCAGATTAGAAGACTTCGGCAAAATGGGACATGACTGTATTCATAGGAAGTGAATAAAAGTAATTATTTATCACATATGGACATGCCTATAGCCTATTCCTGATGAACATAACTGTTTATTTGTGATTTACATAATGTCGGGTTTGAATATACATAGATTTGTCACAATCTATCTCCATATTTCAAATGTTAAGATTATAAATATACTATAAATGCACAGACCTACTACTTTAACGCAATGCTGTCATAAGAGCAGAACAGCACAGATCTGATCTCCCTAAGCGTATAACCGATTAACTTTATATCATCACATATGCTCTGCAGACACACCAAAAGAGCAGGATTACAAAGTTAGTACACATGACATCACACTTATAGATCTTACTAAAACAGAGAGGTTGCATAATGTAATTTAGAAACTGACCAGAACCAATGAAAAATTTGATTTAATGTCCAATACAAATACATTTTCAGTTTGATGTAACTGAGCCTTGTGCAGACTAGCACAGGAAGCTGAGTGAAAACACTTGGCCTGTACAAAGGTAAATGGGAGAACACATATTTATATTTCCTATTAAATCCTGTTTTTCATATTTTTGCTGCTTGTAGAGGGGGTTTCTCTACTGCTACCCATCTAATTGAAAAACATGCACAGCAGGCTCACCCTGCAGCTATGGGTCCTTTAGTCAAAATAGGTTAAAGAAAAAGTATGTAGTCTGCACTCTTACTGGTTTAAATTATTACAATCACAACTGACTCTGTGAATTCAGAACTAATGAATAGATCAACATTATCAGAAAAACCAAAATATGATTAGAACATATGTATCCATATCTGGGGACAAAGATATGTTATGTTTACGATGTTTATGATGTTAACATTCTACATAAAATTCCTTTATGATGTAGAGAAAAGTTCAACTCTTTGGTCACTCTTAATAAGAAATTTTAGTAGCATTTAGGGAATGCGCACAACAAAGTACAACAGTCCTGTGGTGTATGTACATGCTTACTCCTGTTTAGCACTAAGTAAGGAAGGCCACATCTGTCTCTCTTAGATAGGTGTGTGAGTGTTACAACCATGACAGCAGTGACAATCCAGTTTGCACTTCCCCTGCACTGGGCTGACACACAGGACTGACACAGTGGCCTTCTGAGGAGACACAAGCTTGAGACGAGCTTTAGTCACCTCCTGTTACTGTTCCGACACAGAGACAACGCTGACCTCCGCCAACACACTGCTGCCATTCGCACAACCAACACAAGCTGTTAAGGAAGATACAACATCACAGTGGCCAGTGTAAGGACATTCAACCAAGTCTTGCTATATACTTGCAATACATTTGAAATTGACAACTGCTACCTCAAATCTAGTATATATAATAAACCTATAGGCAACTACAACATGCAGCAAAAGAAAATAATTCAGAAAATGACATAATATCCCCCAGTCATCTTCTCCTTCAATAACTGAATTAGTGCAAGAGTGTCTGCCATGATAGTAGGTCACAATATTTGATTATGTAACCTACTCTTAATGTTCTGCTTGGAAAAACCACCACATCATCTCAAATTGCAATAAAAGAGTTGAAAGTACGGACAAAAATCCTGCGGCGCATCTCATATACGGGGGCATTTTAATGAGGAGAGTGGAGGGGTATGAGGCTTCAGGTCATCCGGTTGGACTCGTACTCCTGTCTCATCCCTGGCCTGCTCAGCTGCTCCTGTCATCCATATTTGCAGCTTCACTGGACAATTTCCTCAGCTGCAGGCCCTCTCAGCCTCACAACAACACATAGATCAAGTCAATTAATTCTGCTATTGTGGCAGCACACTAGATCTGGGTCACGTAGGCATGGCTGTGCGTGCTCAGTGGGCACTTAAAGTCTCGTCTACATCCTGCTGTCCTCCTACATCACCTGACCTTGACTTTCACAGGTGATTTTCCACTAAGATGTGTGTGTGTGCCAAACAACTGCTCCCTCGCACTCAGCCCTTTCTATGTCCTTGTAGTTGTATGTAACACTAGAGAAAACCATAGAAGCAGCCTGGTCTGTGAGCTTATGTCTAGGTAACATAGGTAGCACAATGAAAAAGATTGCTGTCTATACTTAGGGCTTGCCTGCGGCTATGTGTGAGGGAGCATAGTGAATGTGGGAGAGATGACACAGAGGGGAAGGAGGAGGAGGGGGGTGAGGATGACGCACACTGAACGGCCATGCTCCTCTGATTCGCCCACAGAGCTGCCACTCACCGGAGCCGAGAGTGAGCCAGTGCTGGAGGAGCAGATTATGAAGCGCAGCTCGACCAGCGGCAGTCTCCTCTCTGTGTCTCAATGGCTGCACACGCGTTCCTCCTGTGCTCTTTGGCCCTGCTGTCGGCGCTCCGGCCCGGGCTCGCCTTCATGGACGAGGACCTGCAGCCTGGAATCATCTACGAAGAAGTGCCTGAAATCCTGGATAGAAGGTAAATGCATCAGTCTGTGTGCTGCTATGGGCAGAGAGCAGGAGGAGGGGGAGGGGTATACTCAGATGCATGCGGGGATGCTGATGTCTTCTCTATTATGGGTTCCTATATTTCTTTCTACTCTGCTTCTTAGCCCAATTCTCACCTTGACTGTTATGGCTGATGTTGCAAAGTGTGTGATGTGGATGGGGTGTTTCACAGTGAGCCACGCGGCAGGGCTTTTGTTTGTCTGAGAGCTGGGGACTGCATCAGACGCTGCTCATCGATCATGGATGTTGTCTCTGTACAGTTATGTTAGGAGCTAAAAAAGGCTGGGGCAGTTGGCCTGCAGGAGGAGGAGAGGAGAGAGGAGGAGAAAAGTAAACAAAGATGGGACAAAGAGGATGCTTCAGGGCTGGTCCGTGGGCTCTGTTTACTGATGCAGTCATTGAGAGAAAGGAGAGAGCGGGAATGGGATAGGGAATTCTAGCCGGCCTTGTCTGCATAATGCATATGAAGTTGTGCAGGTCAAATCTGGATCAAACATTCAGGGCACAAACTCCTCCTCAGCACAAATGAATGGGAATCTGGGCTTTAGAGCGGTTCTGCAGCTTATACAGACGTCCAGGCGGAGAGCTATAATTCTGTGCCAAAGCCATGTAAGGCTCTTGAAACTGTGCCATGCATGATGCCTTACAAAATCCTCTATAGTACAAGTACTGCACACATACACACACTGCATACAGTGCTAACAAAGCCCTCTGATCAATCTGTACTTCATCTGCTGTGTCTCTAACTAATGACAACACTTCGACATGCTCACTTGCCACTGATGATTATTCCTGACATGTTCTCACAATCTTATCTGAACACATTGTACACAGCAGGCGCAAATGGCTGGTCTTTACAATTTAATAAACCTTCTCTCCTGGGATTGCATTCATTCCAGTTCAATCTACTGTTTGTGAATACAGCAGATCTCTATCTTAACTTCTCACCACTGCAGCTGAGAAGGACCCATGTTAAAGTCTTGTGGGAATAAGCAGCTATTCCCTTGGTATAACTTTGTTCCTAACTCAAGATGCAGTTATATAATATAGAATATATGTCCAATATTATAGATGTCTTCCACAACACATTTTACACATTTTGCTGAAGAATTGGCAAACACCAGTAATCATTAATATAGTACATATTTGTTTTATTACTGCAAATAACTATAATATTATTTTAACAAAGCAGTCAAAATATGTTTGATGGGGAGTAAATTCAGAGGCTAAATTGACTAGATGAAAATCACAAAATGGCTTGACAAATCTGTTCTCACAGTTAAGATATAGTGCTTTTACTGAGATCTAACAAAGTGTGTCTCTTGTGCATTGTACATATATTGTTTTTGTGCTGATGTATAACATGTACTCATCTCTGTGTCTGCTCACTGTGCTGTGTTTCACTTTTCTGTCTATTGCACACATTCTATATTAGTTAGCTGCTGATGCATTTGGCCCTTTAACATGTTATGACATAAGATTTTCGAAACACCAACCTACCTATGTGACTACAGATGAAATATTGCCTCTATGACACCTGCCAAATTTACATAATGGACTATATTATAAATTATTTGCTTATAATTTCAGACTGAGTGATTTATTTAAACTGAAAAATTCAGGGGGCACTAGAGAAGGAGCTCATAAACTCCAGAAGAATTAGTCATCATAACATAAAACAAAGTAAAGAGGAGGCTTTTGCAGAGCAGAGCATAAGGAAAGACAAACTGGGACAGAGTGTCACAGGTGTCAAAGAGCGTGAACTTTTAAGCTGCAAGTTTCCAGAGTAACTGCACTGGCCTGTCACTGATGGCTTTTCTGACATCATCATTGTAAGCTCCACCCCCCAGTGGAAAATAAATATAGCCAGCAAAGATATTATATAAAATATTATATAAAATACAGTGTCTTATAACCTGTGATGTGGTTCAGTCATATCTTATGCCCGTATCTTATGAGGCACTATAAGGTGTGACAAAATTGTGACTCAGTTCTATACTTGATACATTTGTTTAGAGACAAAATTGACACATATTGTTTATTTAACTCTAGAGGCCGGTTGCAGGTTCTTTGCCTTGTTTGTTTCAGAACCTTATTTGTGTCCAGTCAAGTATGATTGCATTAATCCTAAAACCATTAACTGGCTACAAGACACCCGTTAGAGATTACAGGACACGTAAAGCACTTAAATGAAAACAAGACTGACACGTTAAAGTAGGGGCAGGACAAGAAATTTTAATAATTTTTAAATCTTAACTGAATCTCTCATTTAAAAAACAACAACAACAACAACAACAACAAAACAAGTCTAAACTTTTACCTCCTGTGAATTGTGGAGGTATAAATACAATTACTGATGCACAAAACACAAAAGGCCAAAACATTTTCACACAACATGAGGTCCCTATATTTGCCCGCAGAGAAAAACAGATGTTAGAAAAACTGTGGCTTTTGACCTGTGGTTCAAGTCTGAGCTGCAATCAAAGCAACACTGAAATTACAGCAGTCTTTGGAGAGTCTTAGCAAACACATAAGGACTAATCTGCATAGATAAATCTATTAATAGTCACACACCTGCTCAGGTTGGATTTAAGAGTGTTCCTATCTGTTTACTGCTGTAACCAAGACAAAACTATGTAAAACAATGTAATGCTATGCTTTATTATGGTTTATTAGTTCATTGAGTTCAACATGAAAGTGTATCTGGGGTTGAAATTGGAAATAATACAACGAAATGTGAGAATCTTCTACACTACTCAAAAATTCTTGAAGGAGGACTAATGATAAGAATCTAAGAATGTGTTTTTTTAACAGGATACTGCATGTGCCAGTCTCAACCTAAGATTATCAGACCAATCAACATGGAAACCACTATAGGCAGATTACAACAACAAAAAACAGAGAATAATAGAAATTATTACTGTAAATATTATGCTGATCCTTCTTTGGAAATGTTATTGAAAATAATGTGTAAAAAGATTTAGCCAAAAGTTTAAAGCAGGCTACCTGAAGGTTTCCTGCTGAAGCATCTTTAAATCTGCAATATAAAAAAGAGAAAATATTGAATAGGGCTGACTAGTCATCAATTACTTTTTCGATTAGTTGACTAGTCAAACAATAATGTCTATGATACATTGATACATTGAGATTAACCAAATAAATGTTTAAATATGGAGCCTTTCTTAATTCTATTCAAAGTATTTCTAAATATTGTAGTTATTATATTTTATATCCATTTTAATATCTTGTATGTTGATTGTTTGCTGATTTTATCTTGTTTGTTGATTATAGATCTCCTGCTGTTCATGAACTTGCAATAGAATTTCCCCATTGTGGGACAAATAAAAAGCTCTCTTATCTTATTTTACTGATTGATCATTGATTGATTATCATACATACAGTATCATACATAGTCTATTCTTTTTTGACACTATGCTTAATAATGCCATAGCATGTATGTGTATGTAAGAATCTACATAGTTCAGATAATGATTCATAAACAAAAATACAATTACTGACTAGTCACAGTTACTCTGAAAATTGTTGCAGCTTTTTTCTGAATGGGATGGGAGCAGAAGTTGGGAAAACATGATCCTGAAGCTGGATTAAAAAACAAAATGTCGTACTGTATTTTACCTCCAGGCTGTTTTGACAATGGGGTTGAATGCAGTGTGTGACGCAGTAGAGTTGTGCCCTAAGTTGTTAGTGCACATATTTAGGATGCAGAGGTGGACAAGGTGTGGTTCTGGCCTGGCTTTGATTATATAAAGGGCCAGTTCAGCACCCAGGCGCCGTGTGATGGGGCTGAGCCAATGACGCGGCCCATAGCAATCCTGTGCTGCTGACCTCGCGAAACTGGCACAGGAACAAGCACTCGGGCTTTAGTTAGCACTCACACACACCACCTCTATGGTCCCATACACAGGGTCCTCTGGCCAGCCCTGCCCAGAACGGTGCAGGGGTAGGCAAAGAAGGACTTAATCACTTGTGGGAGACATATGGCATGACTTACGCGCACTGACCATTACAACACAATCACAGCTGTATATGAGGCAGAGGATTACACAGTCTATCTTCAACAGCCATTTGAAAACAGGCTATGCAGATAAAGAAATTAGAATACACAATGGTGAATGCACTCCAAGTGCTGGTGTTATGGTCAAAACATGAGAGACATAAGGGTCACAAATGTACACAGCATCACTATACAAGTGCAACAACAGTAACACAGCCTAAATGTTTAACACAGAAGCCATAGTAAGAGCTTTATTGGTATTGTTATTGTTATTATTATTGTTATTGGTACAAACTAAATTTGTAGGGAAAATGTCACACTCCTTTAACTTGCAAAACAGCCTGGTTCCCAGGCATTATCACATTACCATAATAGATTACACACATGTAAGTTGCTTTTAATTTAGTTCCTTTAGTTACAACCAATTGTTGCAATAGCCAGAACACTTATCACTGATCCCAAATGGGTTATATTATTTGAAACAACTGAAAATACTACTAAAGCCACCAGATTCAGGATTACAAATAAAAGTTGAACACTTGAAGTTACTGATTGAATAAATAATCCCAAAACAACAATAATATCAAATTCTGTAGTAATTATGGAGTAACAAATTGAATTTGGTCTAAAGTACTATCCTGTTAATGCTGTGATTAGAATATTGTTTATGTTTCCTCCAATCATAGAATCAGAACAGTCCATACTGTCCATACATACATAACAAAATTTTATTTGGAATATGCTAAAAACCTGAAAGAATTAGGGATGCAGCCATAGACTGAATGACTTAGACTATATGATACAACAACTACAAATATTGCATTGAATAATATTACATATTTGCTGATTCTGCAACAATAAATTTGCTACTTGTGATGTCCTCACAAGAGTTCAGAATAAAAACTAACACCCTACTCTTTAAGATAAACAGAACTTTATTAGATTACATTACTTGGTTGGAATAGAAGTTTTATTAACATTAACACTTATCTGTCCAAGAGCAAACGACTGACATCATGCTTAATCTCTCAAGCCTCCATCATTTGACTGCACTGGACCAAGCCTACACCTCTAATCCTAATCCATTTGGCTCCAAACTAACCAATATTGTGTAAGCAGCAAAAACACAGTGGATGGTTGTGAATAAAAATAAAGTAGGTCTGGACGATATGGGAAAAAAAGTACTCATTGATCAGTCTTGATTTTCGATTGGATTTCTCTACAAAAACAAAATGAAAATGGTTCTTAGTACTGATTTCCTAAACATAAATAATAGAGACTTTTCATCTGTGCTCCTTAACATAAAAGTATACTACAAACCACATGCTTTTACTGACAGAGGATTGGCTGTAGACCTCTAGATTCAAAACCCCCAAACATATCACTGATGATTACACATGCCTGATGTATTTAAAAGCTTTACTTGCACTACTACTAGTTATGAACAGACAAACAAACAATGAGCATAATGAGATAACCCACAGGAGGATGTTGAAATTCAAACCAATGCTATGAAGATAACCCTTACAATGCAGCCCTGATAATCACACCATAGGCAGTTTGACAAGAATAAGGTTTATATTATATTATAAATAGGTTCATAATATGCCTATATCACACTGTATGCCTGCACTGTAGATTAGATGAGATGAAATTTACAAATAATAAAAGCATTTGGAAATGTCAAATGCTTTTAATCAATTCTAACTCTGATAGGGTTACTTTGATTTTGGTAAGGACATAGAAGGTCTTAAAGCTACCCTACAGGACACCCAGAATCTGAAGACCAACAAAAGTCCTGGTCCAGATAAAAGCTGTAACACTTTACTGAGAAAATTTACTTTTTCAAATGTTGTCCAGAACAACTGAATTTTATCTTCTGTTAACTTTTCAATTTGTTCTTGAGGGTACAAAAAATATGGAAGCAAGCTTTGATTATATCTGTCCCTACAGAATTCAGATGTAATATTTTAGGCCAGTCATAGATTAATTATATCCCACCTCACATTCTTTGATTATAAAATAATTACAAAAAACAAATTACATTTCAGCTTTTAATATACATTTAATATACACAGAGGGGTTGAGGATGCTGTCATTACACATTTACAAACACATCACTTTCTTCTATTGACTTCTCTTCAGCATTTACATTTCTTAACCGACAGATGAGTTATTATCTTCAAACACTGGCTTGTGTCCTATCTCCTTCACTTTTATACTGTCTACTAACATCTGTCACACCAAATATGAGAACAGATACATTATCAACTTTGCAGATGACACTGTTATTGTTAGTTTACTGCACAACAATGAAACAGCCTGGAACAGCCTGTAGAGTGTGTGAACAATTATAAATATCTGGGAACAATCACAGACTCCAACTTGGACAAGGTGTGGTTCTGGCCTGGCTTGTAAAAAAGGCCACCAAAGACTGTCTTGCCTGAGGAGTATTGACAGCACCATATTGGAGGCTTCTACAGAGCCTTTATTGGCCTTTGTTGTCGTTTACGTTTGTGGCCTGGTATTGTAACTCTGAAGCAGGTTATGAAGTAGGTGAGTAGACTGGTGGGTGCGCCCCATCTTAGAGTGTCAGAACTGTACTCAGCGACTGCAGATTACCAGGTCTCTCACTGTGGAGCCAACACACCCATGCACCAGAAGCTCCATCGCTCTGAACGACGCTGAGTGGTTTCTTCAGGCGAGAACCAATCTCTACACGGACAACTTTGTTCCTGCAGTGTCCTGGTGTTGAGTGCCTGATGTATCTGTGTAATTTTGTGTCATAATTTAAATTTTAATGTTATTGGACTGCTATGATCCCTTCTGCAAAACAATTTACCCTCAGGTAGCAATAAAGAAACTTTAAACCTGATGACCATGAACATCAGCCATGTCAGCTCTGCACTGTAAGCCCATGGGTGGCATTTGACGTCTTCGTTTAGACTGCTAACAGGATCAGGATTACCTCGTAGACATTCAGTACAGTCAAGGTTTAGGCTGGCTGATGCAGGAGAGCTCAGGTCAACACATGAAGGCACAGCAAACAGATAGATCTTTTCTATTGTGTCCAATGTAGGTCACTCACATTCACCCCACCAAACATGCACTAACACTACATCTGACAGGAAACTTACTAATAAGTTTTATATTGTCTAGGATGGGTAGCTAGTAAAGAAGTTGGGGAGGAATATGAAGTGTGCATGAAAGTTAGCCATACTACACATACACCCACACAGATGTTTAATTACAGTGAAATGATGATTACCAACACCAGAAAATGACTGCCAAATTGAGTTTCCTGTCTCACTCTACTCTCCAGAATCTACAACATCTGTAGGTTTTATTGGCCCAAACCTGGGCCAATCAGAAAAATTTTTACTACCACCCCAATCATCTTATTGACAATGGCATTGGTTTATTTTTGTATTTTCTTTTTCTAACCACAAATGCTTTGGGGATTTGTGTATGATGTCAAAATGTGTATAGCATGCTAGAATTCATTTTGTCACTTCTGATATGGGTTTACTTGTATAATAGTATTTTCTGTTTCCTTTCCACAGTAATGAAAACCCCCAAAAGGCCACACGAGTAACATCGAGTAAGTATCTATCAGAGATGGTAGTTCTGATTCAATAAACACTGCCAACATAGTTCTGATGTGTTGTATTGTGGGATATGTAGCTCTAATGTTTTCACATTACGATTACACTGGAGGCAAGAGACATTTCCTACTTATTTGAACCGCACCGCACACAGACAGACCTAAATAGAGCGTGCACACACCTCAGTGCTCAGGCCCTTCTCTATTTCCAGTCTCTTGCGTCATCCCTGTGACTCATCAGCACTTTATTTCACAGTTACGCTAGTATATTCTTCTCTGTTTACAAATAGACTATCATGTTCCCCCACCACATGATTCATAATGATTGACTTGTTTAGGAAGGTTATTTTTGATCTGCTAAATAAGCTGTCTTCAAAGCTCACAGTCACAATCACAATGTGATCATGCTAGCTGCATTGCTCCCCTGCAGTGAGCTCATGATATGTGAGCTGTACAGAGTAGGCTAAAATCAAGCTTTTAAAGGTGCGCTGTGTAACTTTTCTAGTGGCACACCTGCTTGTCTCCATGGCAATATTATTGGCATTAAACTTAATTATCTCTAAGGATGTAGCACCAACAGGCCAAGAAACAAGCCAGATCTGGGGAGAGGGGATAAAGCAATACAAAAAACCCCCCAAAACAAAACACATTGATGATACTAGATACAGCTAATGCCATACTGTAGAGCATAGTAGACAAAGTAATAACATATTGATAGAGACAAGCAGGTTACACATTTTGCAGAAAAGTTACATACTGTACCTTTAATAGATGCCCAAACAAATAATTAATAAAGTACTGGATTTTAAAAAAGAGAGAATAATGGTTATATTACAATGTATATCTCACAATGGTAAAGAAATAACTAATTTATTTACTTTTGACTTCTTTTGTCGCAAAGCTAAAGAAGTGCCCAGACATGGAGACATATTTAAAAATCATATACCAGTACATATAAATCCTGTTTCTACACATACAATAGTACTTATATATCCTTGGCACAGAATAGAAATGAAATCTGTATCTAAACCACAAAATCATACTCATTAAATATGCAAATCATAACACTCTTAAGAGACTGCTTTTGCCCTATTCCAAAACCAAATACAAGCGAAGAAAATTATGTAATTATGGACCATGTGTTTCTATTTTCAAGATGGCGGGTTTGGCTTACAGAGTGAAGAAGTTATTTTGACGCCTGAGGATGAAAACCCACTCAGGAGAATACTGCAGGTCGGTACACACTCTGTATCTCCCCCTTAATATCTTTTCACCATCAGCCCTCTCTATCTCTATCTATTTCTGCACATACAAGCATCTGCCCCCTCACCACGCACACGTACACACACACACACACACAAATGGAGACACACAAAAACATGCAGGCAAATAGAGCACACCTCGGCCTGACCTTGAATGTGGGCATATTGTTGGTTTCACATTTACCAGCAGTAAAACGTCCTCTCAACTCACCCAGAAACGCCTTGTGCAGAATTGGACTACTAAATGTTAGGCTCACATGGTTGAGATTTATGTGTCAGCCTTTGCATTAGATACTTTTACTTGAGTAATACTAAATAGCAATACTCATACGTTGTTTACTTTTCTTATGAAAATAAGAAATTATTAAGTTATTATTATTATTATTATTATTAAGTAATTGAATACACCCTATGTCTGTCATGGTATCACAATTGCATGTCATGTATTGTTATTATTAAGCTATATAAGACAGAAGTAATATGCAGTAAAGGTACAACTTTACATTGCAGATTATTAGTGCACAGTGAAAGGATGTACAAAGCATGTAGTAGTATAGTGTCTGATTGGTCAGCATCAGTTTATGTAGCTGTGCAGACGTGCTGCTGTGAGGAGGTGCCTGAGCTCATCACTCACACCACAGTGATCCTCGACTGCAGCAGTTTCACAGGCACACATGTTACTGAGGCTGCTCCTGTACTCACATCAGTGGCACCACATCTAACAACTTACTAATGACATGTACCATACAATGTGAGGCCACTGGCTGACCTTAAATGTGATTTAAGTCAATCAGACAGATCAGGATGCTGATGCTGACCATACTGATTCTTGACAAGAATCTGACCTGTCAAACGTCACATTTGGGTCACTGCTAGCAGTAGAATAAGTGTTTCTTTATGCTGTTATTCCCAAACTTCAATGAAGTATTCTATGACTGGGCTCTTCACATGTCTTGATCAGTTTAAAAAAGGAAGTTAATATTGTCTCCATACAGCAGGTGGTCTCTTTGTCTTCACTTCAGAGAGAATATCTGAAAAACTAAGGGGGGACTTATGGATCCTTCTGATGTAGAGTATTTCTCACAACTGCCAATGTCTTGCATAAATCTGATTAAAGTGTATCAGGCAGATCAGGATGCAGATAAGGTCAGAGTGATTCTTGACCAGGACTTGTATAGTCATAGGTTAACATCTATGTGGGCCACTGCCTGTAAGTAATCCTCTAAGTGGGACATGCAGCTCATGCAGTATGTTTCTTAGTGTGTGTGATTGCTCCTGTCCTGTAATATCTGCATATGGACAGCCCACTCCTGCCCACTACCTTTGTGTCTTCCCTGATGTATGCCTTCTCTGTATGTTTCAGCCTTTTAACTGGCATCAGCCGGGCATGTCTCTCAATAAGAGAAAGCTGCTCCAGTCTCTAATGGGACCTTATGGGCCACTGAGTGTGTCGTACAATGGGAAAACATGCATTTTGTTCAAAGCAAAGCGCCTGGCAATTCGCTACAGGAACCACACTTTCATCGACTTGACTGAGAGGGTGTTTAACCCCAACTCACCTGTGGACACGAAAGGCTCTATCTGCACTAAGGAGAAAGCCACGTATGTATCAATCTAACACATAAAAGAAAGTAGTTCAGACACACAGAGAGCTTAGTCTGTGTGAATATTACTTCTGATATGTGTGTCATTGAGCAAGGCACTATAGTGTTCTGTGTGTAGGGATGGAATGAACAAAGCTGAAAGGACTGTAAAACAATTACTTTCTTTTAAGGCACCATATAACACATACATGCATTACTGATATGCTTAAATGCACACCTAGAATATATTCAAATAACATATCCAATGATTATCTTCATAATATGGTATATGGATTGACTGAGCATGTGTTTTAAAAATGTATATGTGGTGTTTTGCTTACAACAGGCTTTCACTGAGGTTTGGAGATGTAGAAGACCTGCGAGGCCTTGTCATCAGGTAGACTTCACTGCTTTTCTCTCAGTCCTTTTTACAAAATGAAACAGTAACTTGACAGACACAATTCCCCTCTATCCTACAGGCTTCAGATGTCCAACACATTTTACGAGGCGGCAGGACAGAACTGGTTCACTTTAGACAGCGTCCACATTCACTATAACTGGACCCAGGAGGCCACTTTCAATGCCAGTGAAGTCTACGCTCCAGCCACGTCGTCCTACCACTGCCAGCACGTCAGCAGTCTCCACAAATACGACACTCTGCTCGTCCCTAGCTCCCACACAGACACATCGGCAAACTGGCACATCACATTCACCGATTTTCAGGTACAACAGCATTATGTGGGCAGCACAGGAATGCTAAGTCAAACAGAAAAGCAGCATAATTTAATGCACAAAAACACACATTTTAACACACACATTTGTTCATAAGTCTAAGTCTATTACTGCAGACCTCATTATGGCAGTGGCACAGTAGCTATAATGCTTAAACAAACCATATTGTAAATAAAATGTAAAAATATTAATTATTTGACCCTCTACTCAGATGTCTTGTATTGCAAAAAATAAAACAAAATCTAATAAAACCAACAAAACAATAGTAATTATTATGACAGGCCTACTTTGAATTGCAGATTCTTGTTATGGGGCTGCAGATCAGGCATGTAGTTACAGAACACATTTTGATGGTATATCTGATCTGTCCAAGTCTCAACAACTAGTTGTTGTCATATAAGTGTATAGTGCATGGTTCTGAACCTTTGCCAGATATTTTTGGGGCTTGGCTCTCCGTCTATCCGTCTGCCTGTTACCGCCTGTTTGGCAACTTTTCAAAGTGTCTGTTGAACCATCTGCTATCCTGTGTTTATCCCTTTTAACGTACTGCGCTAGTCAAAAGCCTCTCAGAGCTAGTTCTCCTCTGTATGTTTGACTATTATCTCATGTTACCTTGTCCCATTTCAGATCCAGGCCTTCAACGTTCAGTCAGACAAATTTGCATCAGCCAGTGATTGTGCCACATTCTTGACCCCGGCCATCTTGATGGGTCTGGTCACATCTCTGATCCTGCTGCTGGTTTTGGCATATGCTCTGCACATGGTGGTTCACCTCAAGCATATCGACCGCTATGAGGAGCACAAAGCAACGGTGTACTTTCCCCGCAGTCCAGAGGCGGAGCTACCGGACAAGAACAGCCTGTGAGAGCAGCCTAGGGACGATAAGGAAAACCAAAAGAAGAGGTGGAAAGCCAAGTAAATGACAGTTAGTCAATACATGAGGGAAAAGTATCAACCACAGTTTGATAAAAGGGTAACTTTACCTGATCACAGAAAAATGTCACATAACCAAGGTTGGATACTTTTCTTTTTTTTATTGACCTAAATCTTGGCATCCTAATCATAAAAGGCCTTTGGATGCTCAGAACTCCCCTGAGAGATGGTTTGAGATCCTCATGTCAAGGACAATCCCGGGGTCCCGAAGGGCACACTACGGCCTTTACCCCAGCCAGGAATAAACAGAAGAAGGATGCAGCTAGCATCCAGTCTACTATAAGCTTCAGACTTATAAGGCTGTTCCAGCTTTTATTCCATTCTACTTTTCTAATACCTCTGCAAGTATGTAGGTATACAGCACTTCAAACAGCCACTTGTAGAGCCACAGTAGCTGCATGACTAAAGAGCTAGTCTTGTAGGCTCGCTCTGTGTTTCATAATGTTCATCTCTGGAATTCTTGCATGAGTTGCAGCTTAAAATACATTTGGCACAAACATGGAATGAGCTTGAAAAGCTTTGAAGCAAAAGAGAGGGGATCTATCAGGAAGTGCAGGTCGACCATCTGGCTGGAGTGAACGGACCAGCACTCAGCCCTTCAGAGCCTCCTGGCATTAGCCACCCCTGGTAAGGACTGTTGGACTCAACTGTGAAATGGCCTTTCACAGACCAGCCAAGAAAGGGGTTTTAGCACAACATCTGTTAGCTGCAAATGCACTAACAATAGACTTTTAAAAACAATTTAAAGAACTATGCTGCACAAGATGCCCGAGTGAGGGCATGGCATTCAAATACACGTTCTTGGGCTCTGTAAGAGCCATACAGTGGACAAGGGAGGCCCTGGGTCCTCAGTTCACACAACCACGTGAAGCTACAAAGAAGTTGCCATAAATTATGGAAAACATAAAATAATGTGAAAATGATGCTAAGTGTTGAAGCTACATGTACAAAACAAAAAAGTGTACAGAAGTGTCACTCTGCGGAGGTCTTTTTTATATTCAAAGTAACCATTAAATATGAATAGGTACAGGATGACTATGCTAATCCTCATAACCAAAAGGATATACAAAGCTGTAGATACATTAGATCTCTATACGATCATAGCCGTTTACTATCTTCAATTATTGCACAACTAATAAACTTAGGTACCAGTAAGATTGTGCTATGAGGATTGGTCAGAGGATCAGTACTGATACTTTTTCTACAACATGTTACATGTGTGTCTCTTTGCTTTAAACTGAGCCCTGCAGACTCAGTGTCATCTGACTGTAAATTACAGTACAAATCTTCAAAATAGTGGGCGATCCTGGAATGCCGTCCACTCTCTGACTTTAGCTCCATTAGTTCAGGCCACTAGACGCAGTACCATCAGTTTGTCATTACTACTGAGAAAACACAGCATGACAGTAAATAGATATCTTATGGCAGTTCTGTCAATCTGTAGCAGTGTGAAATGTGTTCTATGGTCATAAATGTATTTTACAAACTATGAACTGAGTGGAGGCAGTTTGTCCAAGGACCAACTGATGTTGAGTGAACAATAAATGATGTTTAGACAAAACTGTGCCGTTAATTTTTATGGTGAAACTATGAAACCAGTTATTTAAATGAATCTCACCATCTTCCTCCCGTATCCTCAGTCACATAACCCTGACCCCTACTGACTTGTACAAGGATGCATCAGCACACATGCAAGATCTTAAATAGTAATGATAAGTAATTGGAAGGTCTCCGAAAAACGTACTCGAATAATACCCCTCTGTATGTGATACGAAATAGCCATATTGTTTACCTCTAAGGACATCTAGTGGCACCAAGATGCCACTTCAGCTGTAGTTGTACATAGTGCGACATCATGCGCCACACGTGCTCCTGGACAGCCACAGACCGGGCGCTCTGTCCAGTCAGCTACAGGTAAACACTGAATACTGTGGCCTATATAGTCTATATACTGTATATTCATCAGTCTAACATATTTTGAGTCACCATAAACTGTTTTAAACTGTTTCACCTGTTCAGAACGTGCCACGAACGTGCTGACTGCTTCGTAATGAAGAATGGGGGTGAGATATACTGCGTTCCATGTCCAAAGTACTTTTTTTTTTCTCAACGCAAGAGGGCAACAACTTCCCGCTGTAAATGAATTAAAGAGCTGGTTGGCAAACAGATTTAAAAAAAAAAGCGTTTAATTAAAAGAAGTGGCATAGATGCATTTACTTTTAATCATTGCAAGTTAATACAACCATAATCAATCAGACTGAAATTAGATTGATTGCACAGACCTAGAAGTTTTTTTTTTTCATAAAATACTACACATAGCCTATGAAAAATGAAAATGAATCTAATGATCTATTCTTGATTTTGCCTATGATTGCATGATTACATGAACACAAGCGTCGAGAAAATTTTGGCTGCTCAAATAGTTTTTCTCCAAAATGTCCTTTAATTCTTACTACAAAAATCCTGAATCTGTTATTTTATTGAATCACCACTAGATGTCAGTGTCTGCTCGTGTGTGAGTATTTGCTTGACTTGACCAGCTCTTAAGTCACTTGTACCATGGACCATACAAAGACATGTGACTTTTTCCTCGTGTACAGCTTATTATTCCTTTTCTGTTGGTCACTTTTGTCATGTTTGCAATTTAAAAAAAAAAACAAAAAACGTGAAACAAGAACTTCTTCAAATAGCAAACTTCTTTCATCAACAGCAGAGGGCAAAGAGTACATGTTGGTCAGGCTGGGGTGTTTGCCTTTGCCTTTTTTCTGTCACATATCAAAAGAAAAGTCATGTTTAGTGTTTGTTGTTAATCTTTCCCAGTGCAGAGGTCCGGAGCAGTGCAGTACTCAGGGAGGACCCGCTCAGAGCCGGGCTGCTTTGTGGATGCAGCCTGCACAGAGACAGATAGGCCCTGGCTGTTTTATATGTAAAGCTGGCAGGCAGAAAGCAGGGACCCACGGGGATCTCAGCGCAACCTCCTTTGTTGGAGCCAAACTGTGGCGCAATGCTACTGTCTAAGCCGCTTTGCATTCTGGGAGCACAAGAGACGGGCAGGGCGCTGAGGATGGCAGGTGGGCAAAGCTGAAATATTTTTGTATTTTTTTTGTGTGAGTGTTGTTGTTTTTAAGCCACAAAAGGTCACATGCCAGTTTGTTAGTTTGGCCAAATAGGATATAATGTGAGATTGGATCATGAGGATATTTGGACTAAAGAAAATATAAAAAAAATACTACAACTTTACTGGTGGATGGTCTGCCACATGCTTTTCTCTGTGGAGATGTTATTGCTTTGCTAGGAATGTTCCACAAAGCAAGCAAATCTGAGCTGTTAATTCCAGATCTGTGGAGAAGCAACCCTACTAAAAGTTATGATGTTTTCAGGGTTTTCTGTAATAAAAACATCTGTATAATAGGAAGACGGAAATTTAATGCCCTAGGTGGAACATTCCAAGCAAAGCAACACTCCCCCGTCACCAAAAACGTTACATAGTGCACCTTTTATTCAATCAAAATGTTAAAATATGTAAAACTCATTAAATAATAATATATAGCCTATTTGATTACACTACTAAATCTGCAGCTGTTTACTCTGGATGCCCTACCACAGTTACCATATCTAGACTTTGGTAAAGCATTTTGTAAGCTATGTGTTTTACAGAAATCAACAATGCCACTTTATCTTACGCCACTAAAGTGAGCTACAAACAGATAAAATGGACTTGACTCTTTTGTGTCTTGGAACAATTGCTGTGTGCTGTCAATCATTGTCTCTGCTAATGGGGGGCTTTGGTGCACATGTTCAGATTCAGTGAGGAGACTATTAATTGGACATCATAGTTTTTCATCCTCTGAGCCCAGTGGAAGTGTCTGGCCTCATTCTAGCCCCTAGGGTGACTTACCATTGCAAATGAGTTAGTTATCGGTCGTTTTTTGGGTCCTGTCTTAACATATTTTGTGGGTCAGAAAGCAAGGATTTAGCTGTTTGAATTCTATAATCCTGTACAAGTCAGACAAAAAATAACATGGATGCTACTGTACATCACATTCACAATGTAAAAAGGAATTATTAAACAATTATTAATATAGTTTGCAAAATGTATTTTTTGGAACCACCTTTATAATATCTGTTTTTACAATAAAAACAGCTCCTTGAAAAATATGCATTCTATTTTAATTGGGACCACCTCTCCACAAATCTGACCTGCAATTTGGCATGGTGCTCGTCCCCATGGAAAGTTTAATATCTTACTATGAAAAATTCCAGGCAAAGCATCTCTAGGGTCGCGGACTCTCCACCCAGAAGGTTACACAGTGCACCTTTAAGTGACTTTAAAATACATACAATGCCTTAATTTGGCAGATACTATTATTAGCCCTATTTACACTGCTGCTCTCTTCTATAGATTAGAAATCAGGAATGAAATGCTGCCACAAGTTCTCCATACAAATAATATTTTAATTTAAGTTTTACAATTGTACAACGGCCAGGTAAACTGAGGACATGCAAAGGCAATATGTGTTTTATCTTAATTGAAGTGGCTCAGAAATGTAAAATGAAATGGGCTGCTTTGGGCGAAACTTGTGTGAGCATGTTTTGAATACAGATACATACAAGCTGTTTTTAATCTGCTAGACCAATAATGCAAACATCACTTGTGTTTCACCGCATGAATAATGAAACCAGGTCCAGCATCAAGGGTTTGTACACAATCAATCTGATATTGTTTGTTTCAAGGTGGAGAACAATTACAGCATTGTTCAAATAATAATACATTGTAGAGACACATTCATTTCTGTTTTCCTATATTGTAATTATCTTTAGGTTTATTTCAGATAAGATGTTGGAGATAAGTTGTTGTAGGAAATACAAGAAACTATCGACTTTACTGCTTTGAAAAGATAAGCAGGATTGGGTCAGGTTAGTACTGGGATGGGAGACCACGAGAACACCATGTGCCTTAGTGAGCATAGGCTGTGTATATAAATGGACATAGATAACCATAAGCTATTTTGTATGTAAATAAATTCCTATTCCTAATAAGGACCTGGCTCCAAATTCGCTCCTGTAACTGCTAGCCTTGTGAGCTTCATTTGACCTCTTCTGTACACAGTTTATGATAGTGAGGCAGAGGTAGCTCTACTGTTGTTGTGTCTTCACTCACCTATGAATGTGGTGTGTGTGTGTGTGTGTGTGTGAGTGGATGAAGTAAAGTGAAGTGAGAGCTTTTTCCAGGCTCACTAAGCTTTGAGCATCTTTTATACCTACAAATAAATATCCATGCTAGCCAGTCATTGCCATTTTTTTTTTTTTTTATGAGTTTATTTAGTTCTGAGGCAATTTAACTATGATAACATACTGTACTAAATGTGACACTTAAGGAGGAGTAAAATAACTTAAATCTAAATGATTCAAAATAGAATACATAATAATACATAATGGATTCAATGCACACAGTACACAAACCATTAATTGCCAATGATATCCTGTCATAGTGCCCTCTGTTGAATTCCTCCCTGTCCATTCTCGTTTCCTCTCTCCTTGCTTCCTCTGTCCTCATTAAGCTCTTCCTCTTTCATCTCCTCTCTGACCAGCTCTGTCCCACCTCACACTGCCTCACCATTGTTTTGATATACGACCTAATTACTTTTTACTAATTGAAGTTCCACGATCATAGCTACTACAGCCTTTTTATAGACTTATATTACTATTGTGCATATGGGTATGGACAGTTTTTTGGCTACTGCAGTTGTCATTTGAACTTGCCATGTTACACCAGCTTCCTTGAGTTTCATGAATAGTGCAATGTTCTGATTCTTATCTCGGAGCCAAGGAAATGAGTGGCGTGTAATTGCTATAAAACACAATTATGTTCACCGATATGCATCCTATTCTGCAGATTACTTTGATGACAGTTAATCTTTACTATCCTTTTAAGAAGCCCTCATCACTCTTTCACTCTTTTTCTTCTCTTCCTGAATTGGATCAAGCTTCAATCGTTTCTCAAGCATTTGCTGAACAAGCTTGTCTTCTCTGTTTCACTACTGACCAGTAAGTAGGCCTGTCATGATAATTACTATATCGACTTATCGTTCAATATATAAAAGCTGGAACAATATTTTTGGGGGTTAGTGTTTATCATGTGTACATTTTCTTTGCACTACAGGGAAACTGTTGAATTTTTTGGCTATACAATAAGATATAACACTAAAAAGGTTGAATTAATAACTTCCAGGACTCACTACAGATGCAAACTAAGTACTAAAGTGTTACATTTTGCTCATGTTTTTTTAACCATATTGTAGATTCAAAAAATTTTTTTTTTTGTGGTTTAAATCTGCTCTTGAGTTTATTGAGTTGCATAAATCTTTTATTGTGTATATTTACTTCAGCAAAATATCGTAATTCAAAATTTGTGATTGTGATTCTTGACTGTCCCTGGTCCTGTAAAATCTTGCCATTAGAGGGTTTATGCCACTTAGAGGTGGTCCTAGGCATGGGCCAACATTTTTGTGAGAGGGTGGCATGACCGCTTGAAAAAAAAATAAAAAAAAATACAATAAACACTAAACACTATGCCCTGACAGCACAACCTGAATGCAGAAAGAGCAGCTGTGTGTGCAGTTAACATGAAGTTACAATGCTGGCTAGCGTTGTCAGAGCACTAAAACAGTTTATCACCGTGTGATAAAATAAGTTCTGATGTTAAATTAACATTAGTGTCTGGGTTATGTCTTAATAGCCCATATGCGTTAAATGCAGGTGAGTACATAAATGACGAGAAGAAATGTCTCAAACTTTAGTACCAGACATCCACTGATACCTGATCGATACACCTAACCCTGCCCCTGAGAAAACCTGAAATCTGCTGAAATCAGGATCCTCGGCCTCTGAACCACTTCGGACAGATCAGAGCTCCGCCAAGTGCTGTTCCAGTTCCCCCAAAGCCGTCACGCCCTCCACACTCCACTCCTCCAATTGGCTCTTTTACAAGGGAATTGAGAAACAGCTGACATGATACAGACAGGACAGCAGCTCTTTCTTCAGGAGACATGAGCAGTAGAGAGCGAAGTGACGTAGTCTCATAATCCCTCTACAGACATACCATCTGCAATAAACTAACTGTTGAATCACTGCAGACTATGTTAATACTGTTGTGATTACATCAAAATTGAGACTAAAACTGGAACTGAACCTGGACTAGACCAAAACTAAAACCATAATGCAGATGTTTAATTAACTATAGTGGACCTGAAGAGTAAGCCATTTTTAATTGAAAGTTTCTGATTTTGTGAGAGCTGTAAATGATTAGTTTAATATTGTGCATGAATTCCCTGTGCATACTCTTTTCACAACTTTTTTGCATTGACTACATATTGAGGAAACATATCAGAAAAACCCACAGACTCATGGCCATCCTTGAACAAATCAGATTTATGTTCACTTTCTTTACCTGCCCATTTGCTTGTCTCTTGGTGACTGCTCTTACAAACATTGCTGTGTAAAAATGTTTCTGCTTTTCACAGTAACACACAATAACACTTAATTCTCCTAGCTCTCAGGGGACATTTTAGCCTTGAGCATAAAAACTTCCATTTGGTGAAAGTAAAAGGTACAAACAAGACAGGAGTGGTTCCCAACTGGTGGATCAGGACTTTTCAGCTTGTCATTTTCTTCCTCTCTAATCTCCAATTCTGATTTGAAATTCAAATTTAAAAAAAAAATAATTTTCATTAACATCTGGAGTTTCATTTCAATTCAATTCAAATTTTAAGCCCTCCCACATAACACTTTTTCTAATCTATGTTATAACACTCTATTCCACCTTGAGATGTCATGTGGTAATACAGGAAGTGCTCCACTGTGTTTTTAAAGTCCATACACCTTCACTAGAATTGCTTAGATGATTTCAGTTTTGGAATATCTACTGAGCTAAAGGTAAAGCTTCTAATATAAAGGATTACTCAAACGTGTGAATGAAACACAACACAACCCCAGGTATGTTTTTGATGAGGTAACAACATTTTAACATGACTAAAAGCTTAAAAGAGTAAATTCATTGCAATATAGGAGCTTTAAGAAATAGTCAAGCGTTTCTAAATAAGGCCGTGTAAAAAGTGGACCAGGAGATACTGTATTGGATCATATTTTATCGTATATTTGTAGTGATTAAATGATCTTGTATTGCGTTTCCGTTTCCTGGAGCTTGCATCCCAAGAAACTCAATAGTCCGACGCACCGTTAGTCGCCTGCGGGATCTCCCACACGCGCTCACACACCAGCGACACATCAGCGCGGCGAAGTGCGTCTAATTGGCATGCTTATCATATGGACCTTTTGAAAACTATTCCTCCTCCTTTGTCAGATCTATATTGGTAATCCCGCTTCAATGACCCGACCCTAAACACTAATCTGACACAAAAGGAAAGGATACTAGAGTCCGTGGTGTGTTGAAGAGCGGTCAGAGGACGTATGGCGTATTTCAACAGTATAAAAGCCTCCAGATGTAGAGGGGGAGAGAAAGTAAACTCCGGAGCGCGTGGAGACGGTCTGGACACATCAGTCAGCAGGAGGAGGCGTGCTCTCTCTCTCGTGCACCGCAGCGTTTGATGATCCCGTTTGCTCTCCCTGTGGGTGAGGTCGCTTTACGGTGCAGCGGAGCAGACTTTACCTGTCCGACCGGAGCTTCGCATCGGCGTGATCCGCAGCGGGCAGCGGGGCAAACGACGCGCTTCTTTTTGGTTCGCTCGCTCCGTGTATGGATCTTTCAGACTCTCGTGTTTTCTGCGTCCCAAACCAAGTAACTCCTGGTTATGAAATATGAACATTAACAGTTTGGTCACATTTGATCGCGTTTTTTATTGTAGGAGAGAAACCTATCCATCGTGACAAGACCGTTATTATTGGCACTGTTGCGTTCTTTTTGTTTTGGTAAAATGCCGGCTGGACAGATCCGCGTGCCTGCTGGAGCGTGTCTGCTGGTACTTTTCGGGACTCTGAGCTCCCGGGTCACGGAGGTGGGAGGTACCCATCAGAGCATCCCGCCGTCCGTGTAAGTGCATGCTCTTTTACGCACAAACTGCACGGGCTCATTTACTCATATGAGGCGGTTCATCGACAGATTAATACAATGATTAAACTTTATTAGTGGTGATTTTAGGAATTATATCATTTTATAGCTGAATTAACTGTATAAATGCCGACTGTCTGTACAATTGAAAGCGTGCATCCATGTGCAATGTGGGTATTGTCACTGGGGAATCCAATAGTCACTGAACCTCATAGAGCAACTTATTAAGAACAATAAAAATGTACACACAGTAATGATGTAAAATGCAACTACACTTATAATGCGAGTGCAGATCTATTACATTTCCTCTTTCTGATTTGTGATTTGTTGTTGTGTGCAGAGTGAAGCTATGGGCTTCAGCGTTTGGAGGAGAGATGAAGTCCATCTCTGCAAAGTATTCTGGCTCACAGCTGCTTCAGAAGGTGAGCCACTGTTACACTTCATTCAGAAATTTGTTTCTCGAAGGTTTTTTTTATTTTATTTTCTTTATTTTATCTCATAAAGGTTTGTAGTGCAGTACTGTGAGTTGAGAAGACACTCTCAAATGGATGAGAATAGTTCTCCCCAGATAATGTTATACATTTTGTATTGGCTATATACATATATTATTTATTAGTCATAGAGGTGTACAGTGTGAGATATTTTGCGTATGCATTCTCACAGTTCAGTTCACTAAGCACAGATTATTTTACTAATAAACTATAAACTGACAATGATTTTTCTTTTAACATTTACATAAACGACTCCTTTTTGTAAATATTATAACTTTTAACTTCCTGTTCTTGTGTAATCTCTGACATTAGAGCAAATATGTGGAAAAGACGTAGTTTTAAATCGTTTGAAGAGAAATGTCACTCTTCCTTTTAACTGCGGGGCTCTGTGTTTTTCAGCCTCTTGAGACTGTGTAATGCATGCTCTTTTGATAGCTGCATGTTTAAAGCTTGTTCTCAACATGTGTCCTTGTTTTTACGCTCATTTGATTTCTAAGTACTTGACACAGCTCTTGGTGCATACATAGATTGAGTTTGGATCATATAAGGGAGTGTGTCTTGCATCGTGATTGTCTTTTAAACCACTTCACATTGGCCTCTTCATCTTTTTCATGTGAAATATTTGAGTGTGATGGAATGCAAATTTGTCCTAATGGAGGGTCATCGGATGAAGCATGAATTAATAGTGGCTAATGGATTGAGAGGGCCAAAGTTGTGTTAACCCCAGTGGGTGGTGAAGGCATTAAGCTGTTTGGTGGTTTGGTGATTTGAGCCTTGTCGTCTAGGACACAGTGTGATCTGACATCCCAGAACATACATCTTTCTTGTTTTTCCAGGAAACTTTCCGACCAACAACCAGTGTCCTTATTATGAAATAGGAATGTCACAGTATCAAATTTGACTGTTATGAATATTATTAAGAGAAGAGATTTCTTTGACACCATGATCAAACAAAAGTAAAATGCTTTCATTTACATTATCTAATACGACTGATTAAATTTCTCTATAATGTCACTCGCTTTATGAAATCAAACTTTCTGAATCTGAAAGTGATGTTATTGTGTGTAAACAGACAGACAAAAGATGAGGGTACATGTGGTGTTATTTTTATGGAACTTGTATTTTTGCTTCTAAAATATTCACTATATAAATATATATATATATATATATATATATATATATATATATATATATATATATATATATATATATATATATATATATATATATAGTTCTTACGTTGTGAATCTTCACATTCCCATTACTTGACCTCTCACCAGAAAAGTTACATAATGGATCTTTATGAAAAAAATAGACATAAATTAATTGAGATAACAAACAGTGAAGATTATCATGCTTGTAGTATAAAAACTTGCTAAAGGAGTTCCATGTAACCAATTAACAACTTATAATAATAATTCCAACAGAGTGCCTCCGATTTTTTTTTGACCACTTTTTTACAATATCACAGTAAGTTTTTATACAAGCACAAGCATGATCTAAACTGTTGCTGTTGTTTCTAGCCTTGTCCTTGAGGAGCACCTGTCCTGAACTTTTAACTAAGAACAAATCTCCTGAAGCTCCCCCTCCTTCAGTGTATTTATAAAATAATTGAGCTTTATACTACAGACAGATACATGCATTAAATGAACTAAGAAAAAAAACCTGAAGCTCTCACTCCTTCCATGTTTTTATAAATGCATTGAGCTTTATGTGCTCTTTATTACAGACAGATAAATGTATTTCCAGTTTCAAGGGTTATATGATAAAAAGCAGCTTGAAACATGTCCCTGAAAGTCACATATGTACCAGGACTTGATCCACAGTCACGTCCTGTGTCCTTATCATAGGCCCACATGGACCAGAGTGTATGCGCTGTTCACACACTCATGCACTTGCTCAGTCTATGCACAGCGTGCGTTTCATCACAGCTGATAAGTCAAAGAGCCACTGTTATCTGTTTGACAGGATAAAAACTCTTCGCTCTTCTCATCTATTTCCACCTTCTAAAAGCAGATAACCCTCCCGCCGAGTGACGACCTCTTTATGAAATGCAAATCAGGGCTTCAGGGTTAATTGAGTTAAGAAAAAGGCTTCAGACCTCTTGTTAAGAAAAGTGTATTTTTTGAAACCTCTCAAATCTAAAAGATATTATGTACATCTGTATTGACACAGACATATGGATGTTCCAGTTCTCAAATCTCCAAGGACTGTGAATTGGCCACAACAAGGCAGGACAGTATATCTCACAATTTAATTCACAGCAGCCTATAGGAATGAGTCATATGTTATTATATATGAATAGCAATACAATTTTGAATTCATTACAATATGTACACAAATGTATGAAATTCATTGTATGGATTTTGTCTAATATCAGAGTTTTAATATTGCTATTAGACTAATAAATAAATAAATATATATTTTCTATGACCTATTTTCTCATTATATCTTCTGTGATTAAAAACGTTTTCTGTACTTAACGTGTATTTATATTTGTGTTGGTATCTGTCCCGCTTTTGTTCAGAGAGGCTGAGAAGGCACAGTATCACCCCGGGGTGCAAATGCTTTTAAACAGGAGTACGCTGAATGAAGGCTGTACTCTAGTTGTACACAGAAGGAGATGCGTGTGGCTGAAGGAAAAAGGCAGTGTCTTGTGTGAATGTGTGTGTGTGTGTGTGTGTGTGTGTGTAAGATTGTATTCCCTCAGGGCTGTGGACAGATGGGCCGCGACACTGTTATCTGCCTGACCCCTGCGCAGCACAAGTCCCTCAGAAAGACCTCCCTGATGCACACATTCAAATGCATGACCTGGATCATGGTCCGTACACTATCACAAAGACCTTTAAGAAGCACGCAGTATACAAGAGGCACACATGTAAAGCACTGTTATCTTGCATATACTGTAAGTAGATGAGCAACTGTGTAGAAATAAGACCAAATTTCATATCTAAAAAGTAATTATACATTTTTAACAAGCTTGAAACCGTAACTTCCCTTTTACACAAGGTAACATAAAGGCTATGGGCAAAATGCAGGGAACACTACGTCACTATAAATGTAATTTTGTTTATTATGAGTAACTATACAAATAATGGATGCGGTACCACTTTATAATAACTACTGGTACACTTTAATTAACATTTTTAAAGCAAAGACTTAATACATGATTTGTTCATTTTGAATTTGCTAATTTCAGGCTTTATTAAGGCTAATCAAAATTTAGGTATTGTAAAGTGTTATCAATTATACTTAATGTTTTATGGGCTGATACAATTCTCATCTGTGTTATGGTGCAGTTAATAAATAATCTCAGGTTTGCAGTAAAAGAAATTACTCAATTACAACAGCATGCACATATTTAGGTAATGTCTAAAAAATATTCCATCTCCATGTGCTTTTTCTGTGTGTAACCTATAGTTCAACCTCTGCCAAAATAATTATATATATTTTTATGATTCACTCCTAATTTACATGATAAATAGGCTACAGTATATGCAATTTGATATTCCAGAATTCATTTAAATGACAAGTACCACCTCATTAAAACCACTGCGTATAATTTGTTTTTGGCAACCCCACTCCCGTGTTTTTTCTCCCCTTACCCTGGTGTCCTGATCTGTCCTCCACTCACTTCCCGTATTGGAAACAGATCTGATTTCAAGGTTATACCAGCCAGGACATAGGTCTCTGTGTGCCATATATACAGTGCAGCTCTACATGTGCACCTAATAATGACAAAAACACACAATCAATGAACATCTCAACCTAATTAGTTTTACAGTGAGTCACATGTTGTATACAAAGTGTGTTTGGGGCACAGTTTACTTCTCCCCGGCTCCCACTGATTTGAATTAGCTCTGTGAGTTCTACCTTCTGCACTGCTGTTCTGTTGAAATCTTTAATTTCATGTATCATTGAGCAACCTGTCTGTACGCGCCAGTCTGGCTGTAATGACTGTGTTTGTGGATGTCTGAGGCTGGAGCAGTTTTCATACCACACTGCAGTTTACCACACATTTTCATGAGGTCTTTGGGGGGAAAGGATGACAATTATTACAATTTTAAAGTTATCTGGGGATTTGTGGACTTAAATGGAATAAGGATAGAAACAAGTCCACCAAGAAGTGTTTCTGGTTTAATTGTCATTTGCCCAATAAGCTACAGTTACCCGTGGGGCAGCCATTTTAATTTATTAATTGATTATTTTGAGATTAGCACAATTAATTATATTCATGTTTTACTCAAGGGTAGATAGAAAAGTGTCTTCCTCCAGATTACACCATTTTAATGAATTGCACAAAGCCTTTTCTGTGACCTTCTATGACAGGATCCAACCTTTAGCAGCCAAATCTAGTGTATAGCTTTTATTATTATTTTCAAATAAAGTTGTTTGTATCTGTTTTCAAAGGAATAAAACTTGTTTAAGGTATTTTTAAAGAACTGACAATAAAGGTGCACTATTTAATTTTTTTGGTGGAAGATCTGATACCTGATGTTATTTATTTGAAATATTCAACTCTATGGCATTAGAATCTTCTATCTCTATGGAAACAAACAGATGACACTACAGGCTAATATATTTTTTACATCAATAAAGCACATGCATTTGAATAAATGCAAGATGGATAGTCTTAATGTTGTATTATGCAAAACCATAACATTTCCATGGAGGCATGCAGGTAGCAGACTCCTTACTTGAAAAGTTAGTGCACCTTCAAGAGATAGCCGCCATGTTGCTCTTCCGCAACCTGCCACCAATGGAAAGTTATATTTTATGAGGTCAAGCTGTAAACTGTCCTTATTGACACATCTTCCCTTAATACCAACACAGAGACAATCAGTATAGTAAGTACACAATTTTATTTTTTTGTTGTAGGATACTCGGAGCACTTCTGATACACCAGACTGAACGTGACCCCATTCTAAAAG